GATCCCACATACAGACCGGTTCCCGCTCACTGGCTGAGCGAGGTGTGGGCGCAGCACCGAGGGTTGCGACCCCGTTGCCGGTCCCGGTCCGGTATGGGCGTGACACTGAGGGTTGCGATCCGTTGCCGGACACGAAAAAAGACAAAAAGGAAAAAAAAAATTCTATTCTCAGAAAAATCATCTTTCAAGAATGAGGTGAAATGAAAACAATTTCAGATGAACAACTTAGAGAATTCACCACCAGCGTGCCTTTATTAAATAAAATTCTAAGGAATATATTTCAGGAAAAGGATCCCAGAAGGAAGGTTTGAAATGCAAGGAAAAATTTTGAGCAAATAAATCATAAAATATGTGGGTAAATCTAAACAAACATAGACAGTTAAACAAAGATAATTATATTAATATATGGGGGGAAGGTGGTCTGAACTGATTAACTTTGTTAAATATGCATGTTAAAAATTTAAGGATAAACACTAAAAAAACAGAAATACATGGTATAACCTAAAACAGTAGACAAAAAAAAGCATAGAATTTTTTTAAAAATTAATTCAAAGGCAGGCAGGAAAAGAGAAGAAACAAAAAAATTAAAATAAAAGATAAGGAAGAGAAATAGAAAGCATAAAATAAGATGGTAGCAATAAATCAAAGTATATCAGTAATCATAATAAATATAAATTGTGTAAACTCATTGGCTAAGAAACAGAGATTATCAAAAAGTATATAAAACAAAAAACAGTTATATCTAGTTTTCAAGAGATTAACTACGGGGTAAAGACCCAGAAAGGTTAAAAGTAAAAAGATGAAAAAAGGCAATACTAGTCAAAAGAAAGCTGGTATAGCTTTATCGACATCAGACAAAACAAACTTTCAGGTGAAAAGCATTATTAGAGATAAAAGAGGGCCCATTAAAAAATGAGAAAAAGTTTAATCCCCTAGGAAGATATAAGATATAATAATTCTGAATTTGTGTGCACCTAGTAACATAGCCTCAAAATATCTAAAACAAAAACTGGCATAACTACAAGGAGAAAAATGTAATATGCCATTATGTTGGGAGAATTTAACATATCTCATTCAGTATTTAAAATATTAAGCAGACTAAAAATTGGTAAGAATGTAGAAAATTTGAGTAAAACATTTAATAAGCTTGAGCTAATGAGCACATATAGAAACCCGCTTCAATCGCTTAGCAAATACACACCCTTCTCAAGCACATATGGAATATTTATAAAAACTGACAAGTAGTAGGCCAGAGAGTATGGCTCAAGGAATAAAAGAATTAGTCTCATGATATTTTATATGACTAAATGCAATTACGTTAGAAGTGAATATAAAGATGATGTAAAATATCTCATGTTTGAAAGCTTTAAAAGCATGCTTACATATGGATCAAAGAAGAAAATTATAATGGAAACTGTTAAATACCTAGAACTGGATAATATTGGAAAAATATACTTCGGGCCGGCCCGGTGGCGCACTGGAGAGTGCGCCGCTTGGGAGCGCGGTGGTGCTCCCGCCGAGGGTTCGGATCCCATGTGGAGACTGGTTCCCACTCACTGGCTGGGCGCGGTGCGGGCGCAACACTGAGGGTTGCGATCCCGTTGCCGGTCCCCGGTACGGGCGCGNGACACCAAGGGTTGCGATCCCGTTACCGGTCAGTAAAAAAAGACAAAAAAGGGAAAAAAAAAAAAATATATATATATATATACTTCAAAACAACATATACAGCTAAAGCAGTGTTAGAGGGAAGATGTACCGACCTAAAAGCTTACATTAGAAGAAAGGCTAAAAATTAATGAGTTATGCTTCCAACTTAAGAAAGTAGTAAAACAAAATAAACTTAAAAAATTAAAAGAAATGAAATAATAAAAAATAGTCTAAATTAAAAATATGATAGAGAGAAGCAACAGAGCCAAACAAGTGTTGTTTCTTTACAAAGACTGAAAAAAATAGACAAAACCCTTTGACAATTTTTATTAAGAACAAAGAGAAAAAACACAAACAAACAATATTAGGAATGAAAATGGAGACATAACTACAGAAATAGCAGAGATTGAAGAACTTAGAGGATATGGCCAATTTCCCAGAAAAACAATAGCAAAACTGATACAAAGAATAATAGCAGACTTTAATAGTCCCGTGACTATTTAAGAAATTGAATCAGTGAGTATTAACCTATATTGCTTTTGGAAGTATAAACCTGAACTGTTCTTATTTTTTTTGTTGTTTTGGTTTTTTTGCCAGCTGGCTGGTAAGGAGATCCAAACCTTTGACCTTGGTGTTATCACCACTGTGCTTTAACCAAGTGAGCTAACCAGCCAGACACAAACTCTTTTTAAAGAGCAATTTGCAAATATGTATTAATTGCCATAAAACTCTGACCCAACAATATCGTCTTGCAGATTACATAAGGAAGAACACAAATAGAAAAGAACCTATAGGGCCGGCCTGGTGGCGCACTGGGGAGTGCGCCGCCTGGGAGCGCGGCGGCACTCCCGCTGAGGGTTTGGATCCCATGTGGAGACCAGTTCCCGCTCACTGGTTGAGCATGGTGCGGTCGCAACACCGAGGGTTGTGATCCCGTTGCCGGTCCCCAGTGCAGGCGCGACACCGAGGGTTGCGATCCCGTTACCGGTCAGTAAAAAAAGATAAAAAGAAAAAAAAAATAAAAGAAAAGAACCTATAAAGATATTTATAGCTGTGCTATTAACATTGGTCAAAGAAATGTAAACAACCTGAATGTCTAACATTTAGGCAATGGCTAAGCAAATCATATTATAGGACAGAGCCATTAAAAATGATAAATAATCCTAAATTCAAAAGTTTTAGGGGCCAGCCCAGTGGCGCACTGGGTAGAGTGCGACACTTGGGAGCACGGCGGCGCTCCCGCCAAGGGTTCAGATCCCATATAGAGACCGGTCCGCTCACTGGTTGAGCGCGGTGCGGGCGCGACACCGAGGGTTGCGATCCCATTGCCAGTCACGGTACGGGCGCAACACTGAGGGTTGCGATCCCGTTACCGGTCACAAAAAAAGACAAAAAGGAAAAAAAAGAAAAAAGAAGTTTTAAAGAAAAAAAAAAAGGGCAGATGTGAGTACAGTTATCCCTTGGTGTCCATGGGGGATTGGTTCCAGGACCTCCCACAGATACCAAAATCTGTAGATGCTCAAGCCATGATATAAAATGGCAAGGTATCTGCATATAACCAACACACATCCTCCCATATACCTTAAATCATCTCTAGATTACTTATAATACCTAATACAAAGTAAATGCTATGTAAACAGTTGTTATACTGCATTGTTTAGATAATAATGAAAAGGAAAAAAAGTCTTTATATGTCCAGTTCAGATGCAATCTTTTTTTCTGAATTTTTATTTTTTTTTTAATTAAAAAGATGACTGGCTCTCCCAAGTGAGCCAACCAGCCATCCATATATAGGGATCTGAACCCCTGAACCACACTCACCCAAGTGAGCCACGGGCCAGCCCTCTTTTTCCAAATATTTTTGATTCACGGTTGGTTGAACTCACAGCCACTGAACCCACGGATATGGAAGGCTGACTGTATATCAAAAGTTTAAACTTCTGTATTGTGGAAGACAGCATACGTCAAGTTTGAGGAGACAAGTGTTAGAGGCCTGGAGGGAATGCAGCTAGAGTTTGGAGGCTATCTGGGTCCCCAAAGGGTGGAGCTCACCACCACATGGACCTCAGCACTGGGTAAAAGACAGAAATCTCACTAGAAACCCCCTGGGTACCAAATGGAAATCCAAGAACTGCAGAGACATGTGCTTTGTTTCCAGGAAGGTTAGAAAGAAGACCCTGCCCACAGGGTGCCAAATGGTCAGGAAGCAGCGGTGGAATGAGGGTCTAGGGGAACGGCTGGAGGACCACCTCACCTAGCTCTTTGTATCCAGAATGCTGCTGATGCAAAGAAGGGGGTAGGGGGTCAGCTGATGGTTCCAGTCTCTAAGGTGGAAGGAGGGGTGCTAATGGCTGAGAGGTCCAGCTGGCCAGAAGAGGCCAGATGGAGAATGCCAGAAGGTATGGACCCCAGGCTGGATGCCACAGAGAATACATGGGAAGCATCAGCAGGTGCCAGATGACAAAGACAAGGAGGGCAAGCGTCTGTAGGGAAGGCAGATGTAAATATAAGTTTGTAGAATAAGGATAAACATCGTCCATTTCTTTAATATTTATTGAGCACCTACTATATGTGAGGCACTATCTTATCAGTAAGCTGATAGCGTAAGGTAGAATTACTTACTCTTTTTCCTCCTTAAAGCTTGCAAATATATAAGTAGGAAAAGATACAAATGTTAAAACGATTAAAAGAAAAACAGAAACACAGAATTGCTATGGAATAGGTGGTACAGTGCAAAGTTTAGGGGCATGGGCCCTAACCTCAGGCTGTCTGAGTTCAAATCCATGCTCTGCCACTCACTAGTGTGTGGCTTTTCAGTTCCAGGTTCTCCATCTGTATCCTGGGGCTGATGGGAGCACCTCTTGCAGGGCTGCGTAAGGGTTAAATGACCGAAAACGTGTAACATGAAGTGACAAATAAGGCCTTTTTCTCCCAAAAGTTTTCCTGCACTGCTCTGCAGTGGCTTCACACACACACACCCTTCTGGTCTTCCCCTCTGGATCCCCTCAAATTACTTTCCCCTCCCCATCTGTTCACTGCAGGGACCTAGGCCGACAGGAGACACTGGAGTAATTTAAATCCTGCAGAGCTGTCAAAACTTATCATCCAGGCTTAGTGTGTTATCATCCACTAGCAAGTTGCCTTTTAAGAGGGAACATTAGTGAGCTCCAAAGAATGAGTCTCTGGAGGTAGCAGTTCAAGTGTAAAGGGGAAGCTCCCCTCAGACCCCATTAATCCGCTCACCCATTAGGCCAGCTGTGGTGGTTTTAAAAATATCCATAAATTATTTGACATTCCTTCCCACAAAATCTGGAGTCTAGTTTGCCTCCTCTGGTATATGATTTGGACTTAGTCACCCTCTTCTAATGAACAGCTGAAATGATGCTATGTGACTTCCATGTTCAGGTCATAAAAGTGACATAGCTTACGCCCAGTTATGATTCTCTCCATGCCATCGCCCTGCACCCCAGTCTCTCTCTCTCTCCTCTCCCTCTTTTGACATGCAGACATGCATCTCTGGAGCCTTCAGCCACCACGGAAGAAGTCTGGAGTCCCTGAAGCCGCCATGCTGGAGAGACCATGTGGAGAAACCACATAGAAATAGAGATGCCTGAGGAGCCTCCAGCTGCTTGAATCTTCCCAGCCCAATGACAGACAAGTGAGAGCAAACCTGAGATTTCCAACCCCCAGCCTTTGAGCTGCCCCGGTCAACACTGAATGGAGCGGAAAGACTGCACTCATGACTGAAATCAACATTATCCTTTTAAGCTGCTAAGTTTTGAGGTTTGTTAAGTTGCCACAGTAATTGGAACACCAATCCCGTAGGGGCTGGCTTCATGGGTGTGTGACCTGTGCAGTCACACAGGGCCCTGCTCTCAGATGGGCACCGTACTTAGTCTAATGCTTCCCTCTCACCCTCTTGAAACTGTCAATCATTTCTGCACTGGACCCTGCAAATTATGTACCTGGTCCTGAGCCCTACCCACATGAATTGCTATCACTCTCCTCCTCTTGTCCTATGTGTCCCTCATCTATGTAACTATTCAATGTGTTTAGTGGGCAGAGAACAGAGCTTTGGAACCAGCTGGTCCTACTTTCAACCCCCATCTCCACCTCTGACTGTCTCGTGACCTTGGGTAAGTTAGTTATCCTCACTAACTTCTCCATTTAAAGAACCCTCCATACCAACATCAGATAAATCTTCCTTTGCTAGAACTTCACAGCTCCAAAACCTTCAATGGATCCCTATTTCTGTTACAGTCTGGAGTCCTCACCTGGTCATTTAAGGCCTCCTCCAATCAGATGTCAAAGTACCTTTGACACACCTTCCAGTGCTCCAGCACACTAACACTCTGCATCAAACAGAGGGTTACTCGAGTCTTTTAAAATACTTTTCACTTCACTTTTTAGTGCTTTTGTCCAAACTGTTCCATCCTCAAACTATAATATCCTGGACCCTCCTTACAACTTTAGCATTCAGTTGTAGTCCACTTCAAAAATTTAAATAATTGCTGACATGTGGACTTTTAGTGTAATATTCTCTTAAGTAATACTTCCAACTGTGATATTTTTAGTACAAGTAACCCACCTCCATTGTTTAAAGAAAGTCAGGCTAAGGCACCTCATGTGTGTAACGAGGTTGGTGTAATGGAATTTGTTTATGCTGACACATTTCTAAGCGTTGACAAAAGCTTTTGTAAGCAACAGAAATAAAGCAGTTATGGAACCACTGACTGTCAAATAAAAATGTTCCTAACCAATTCCTATAACTATAGTGTGCATGAACATAACTACCCCAATAAACATATGAAAGCCACCATAACTGTCAGTTAACAGTTGTGATGTAATTCAATAAAATTATTCACATAATTCACACACACAGTCACTCACTCATTCACAGTGATCCCCCATCCCCACCCCCACCGCCTCAGATTTCTTCAAGCTTTTGAACCAGCACATGGGAGGAGAGCCCAGCTTTAGGGTTAGACCTCTCATCAAATCCTGCCTTTGACATTGCTAACTGTGTGATCTATGTAGGTGTCTTAACCTCTCTGAGCCTTGGGATCTTCATTTTAAAAATGAGGATAACATGCTGGCTGGTTTCTAAGTTGGTTAGAGTGTGGTGTTAGACCACCAAGGTCAAGGGTTTCTATACCCCCTACCAGCCACACACACACACACACACACACACACACACACACACACACACACACACACACACACACACACGAGGATAACAATATCTCACAGGGGTTTGGGAGGATGCGATGAGATAATTAGTGTAGATTAAGTAGCTGGCAGCAAGCAGATGCTCCTTGAGTATTTCAGAGACTCTAGGATGTGGCAGGGGCCTTTTACGTCATCTTGTGTAACTTCACATCCACAGCATCCCTGTCAAATGGCCATTCAGCCTCTGCTTGACTTTTTCCAGGACGGGAGCCTCGCACCTCACAGGGTATCCCTTCCAATTTTGGCTGAGTCTAACTGCTGGGAAGTTATTTTGAATTGAATCCTCTCCCTTAATGTATCCCTTGGGTGCCCCTGTGCCTCCCAGCGCCCTCTCCCCACCAAGAAGGAGGCGGTGGCCATCCGGCCCAAGGGCCCCCCCCCCCCCTTGAGAGGGGGTCTCAGCTCAGCGCTCCCAGCCTGTCCCCTCGGGCCTGCCCATCCGCCATCTCCTCACCTGTGGGATGAGGAGGAAAGTCCTGCCATCTCCCCTCCCCCCAGGGCTGTTGGAGCAACCAATGCGATCCTGGGGATAGGCTTGGGGAATGGTGGAACCCCATCATCAGACCAAGCGGCCGCAGGATTAGCCTTCCAGCCCCTTCCTCTGCCCGCTCGAGGATAACCTCATCCTCGGGGGCCGGAGGCCTCCGCTCCAGCCGCGTCCCCGCCGCAGGAGATGCAGGCGAT